CACACACACACACACACACACAATAATCCAGGCAGCATCTTCTCAGAAATAATTTGTAAACCCAAATAAACAAACATGTCCTTTAACTATGACACTGTGCATGCTAAAGTATTTAAAAATGAAATCTGGGCAGCATCTGTATTGCATGCTTGATTTCATCTCTGATGTCTCCTAACAGATTTTAACAGGCAGGAGAATTTCATGCATAGTTATACACAGCTGTACGCTAGCATTAACCTTGTTATTAAACCAGTAGCATGACAGAAGAAAAAAGAGTGCATTTGAAGGATGCAAAGGTAAGATGTTCTTATCTCCTTTTGTGTGTTCAGACGCTCACCCCAGAGGACACAATCTACACTCTCAGAACGGCCACGCTTCATACCAAAGGACATTTGCAATATATATGTATATATACTGTATATGTATGTGTGGATATATGTGTGGATACATTTTAGCAACATGACCAAAGCAAATTCAAGGCCAAAAAATAAAAACAAAAAATGAAGAAGCAGGAAGGAAAAAAGCAACACTTTCTGAGCTGAGAAGGAAAAGATGGTAGAAGATGATTATATAAGTATTTTTTATTCTGACAAGTTTGTGACCTGCTGAACAGATCAAACATGAATGTATACTGAGCGAAGTATCCAACGGCACAGTGACAGTTGTGTCATCCACACTACTGCTTGGCACAGTTTCTGGTGAAGACAGCCTTAGACCTTCTAACTAAATGATGACATGTTGGCTGAAGGGAAACCGACACGTCCTTATGTGTCAGTGGTACTTGATTAGGAAGCCTCTTCTCTTCAGAGGAACAAAGGAATGAATGTACTCAAAGTCTGCAGTGTAGAACAGAAGCGCAGGAAAAAGTAACAACATCGTTCTTTGACGTTCCCGCCACGCCCAAGCAGACGAGTGAAAATTATGCCTCGATCATGTTTTGGTGTCTTTTCTCTCTTTGCGTGTGATAAGTGCTGGTAATGGACAAACCAATACGACTATCTGTACGTCCATTTAGGCTGAGAGTAGTTTGATGTTTAAAGGCACACAGAAAGAAAACTTTAATGCTTACGCAGCCTCTTTGACAAAATGACAGGACTACAGAGTGCAGCGATTTGTGTTAAACAAAAAGTCAGAAAAATAAATACTCAAGTAAACCACAGTTACTTGAGTATTCTAAGGAAGTGTTTGTGCTTCGCTACTTCCCAGCTCTGTGAGAAGCGCCACTCCAAAAGCAAGCCCAACTTAACGACAGCAGAAACGAGCATGCTTCTTCCAGCCAGGTTCAAAAGTGGGTTTGGCCTCGATTCCTGTTAATGGAAACTTTACTGGGGCGATTTTTCCAGTGTAAAGTGGGTGCCACATTGTCCAGTTCAGCATTTGTTTTTAATCAAATGAAGCATCATGCAGGCTACTTTCACCCACTGAAACCATCTGGTTCGATTCACCAAAAAGATGATAGTTTGTTTAAAATGGCAATCCTAACCTTTTATGTATTTAAAATATAAATACATACAACCAAATGAAACCAAATTCTTTATATTTGATATAAATGTTTTCTCAGTGAACACTGAGATCTGCTCTGTGAGGCCTGAAAGTGTACAGACCTCGTAGATTAGCAGTAAATTTAAAAGAGAACTTTTTATTTACTTAGCTGTGAGTTGGCATCTTTTTATTTAAAGAGAGGCTGTTTTAAATGTTGCTCTTTGCATGATAAAGACATGAATTAAGTGGTGGAGTGCTTGGATCTGTTGCCTTATACCGAGAAGGATATCAAACTGTGCATGTTCTCCTTGTGCCTGCATTCCTGGCTTGTTCCCACAGTCTAGAAAAACACATCTTAGGTTAGCTGGCGATTCTAAATCAGTCATGAATGTAAGGTAGATAAAATGAATGAGTGTAGTTCAATGTGGCTGCATGCTGGGCAAAGATAAGAAACCCAAAGAGCCTCCAATCCACCAATCCACAGGCAGATACGCCGTGTACAAAATCAAAAGTCGTTTGTTGTGCCTTGCTTTGTAGTGGACGCTTAGTTCCTGTTGCCTAGGTAACCTTCTCAATCGGTCACCATGGAGCGGAGCAACGTTTAGGAACAAACAGCAGCTTGACCACTGACTCTGGTCTCTGCCCACATGGAAAAGATATTTATAACTCTTATACAGTTTGTCTGTGTGAAACTTGTAAGAAAAGCACACAAGAGTGAAAACACATAAGATCCCTTGAAAAATGATGTAATGAAACTTGTATGTTTTGGATACTAAAACAATGTATGAAAGTAGTAAGAAAGTGGCCACTTTCATGAGTAAATCATAGAAGTTTTTACTATTTCTTTTCCATATGGGAAGTTACAAAGCTGTGAACCACTTCCTGTGTGGCACAGCAACACAACTAACAAAGGAAGTCAACCAACTAAGTACACACTCCAAGAGCGTGTGACCATGTGGACTGTCACAACGAAGCCCTGTAGCATGAAAGGCCTCTGTCGCCTCGGCTCATTTCTGGAAGCTCTCCAGCCACTGCTGCTAACAGGCAGCACTGTTCTTTTTAAAAACTGTGGGGACAATACCAGGAGACGTTTGGGACAAAGGACAGGCTCTTCTTGCAGAGAGGAAAATCTGCATTCCTACTTTATTTCTACTAAAATTTGAGATACCGCTAGAATCAGAGCTTTGTTGTGTTTTGGGCAAGAACAGCTGGTCATAACTGACGGAGCAAATACAAATTCTGTTTCCATTTTTTCCTGAATATTACATTAAATGCAGTCCAGATGGAGTGTTACTGCTCACATCATGGACTTAAACTGCACCCTCTTTGCAGGCTGACCCAAAAGCCAACAATGCAGGCATGTTGTCAAGTCTCCAAACATGCTACACCTTATCCTGTTCTTACCCCCACCCTCACACCGCTTACCCCTACATGCTCAGGCCAAAAGACTTTGCTGAAAACCAAAGTACCTGTTCTCGTTCTCGTTCCTGTCAGGGACAGATGACCCATTTCAGCATTGGGGGAGAGAGAGGGACAAGATGTGAGGAACCACATAAGACGGCAGGAAGGAAGGAAGGAAGGAAGGAAGGAAGGAAGGAAGGAAGGAAGGAAGACAAGTTCCACATTGTGCATGCATGGGTTAGTGTAAAAACACACAGCTGAATGGGCTGGACCCTGAGCTGTTCACTGACAGAAAACAGGTTCTGGAGGAGGAAACACATCATTAAGCACAGCATGCTGGGGTCAAACGCTCATTGCACCTCTCGAAGTTACCCTGAACACACAGTGTGAGTCAAAAAACAGCAGCTGTCATTCTAAGTACAAGCCCAGTTATGAACGTTATGTGGGACCCATTTGTGTGATTTAATGGACCCATTTAGGACCCGGGGTCACAAATGAAATTCTGATGTTAAAGTTGTGGTGATAAAAGTTAAGATGCCCTCTCACACAGCTCAGTTAGAACACGTCCACTTCAGATTTAGGAAGCAGGTTAAACTTAAAGGTCTTTAGTCTAAAGGGACTGTTGGCAAATTAAGGGACAGGTTCATTCGTCATGAAGAAGAATGAGGCCACAGAGCTCAGTGGAACCTGGAAGGAGCAAAAGATGCAACTTACCACATGTCCTTGACATTACACAGCAGCCTTTACACAGTACATGGTATCGAGTTTGAATATATTTGTGTGCGCACTTCAGAGAGAAACACGGACGTGTTCCAAACTAGATAAAGGGTGTAGCTGGGTCAGGAGATCGTCTAACTCTGCTCCTTCAAAGAGTCGCGCACACCAGTCTGAATGTGCACGGTGTACACACTCCAACACACACTTTACTGCACTTGTGTTATTGCTGTTCCAGAAGTTTTACTCATAACTAGCTACACTTACAACCAAATTTCCCCTTGTGGGACAATTAAAGGATTATTCTATTCTATTCTATTCTATTCTATTCTAACCAACTACCAGCAAGAAAAATGTGCCAGACGTGGTCTGAACACTAACGTGTGTTTACAAGTTATTCACATGTATGTTGTTAGAATAGTGAGCAGCTTTATGTACACATCACGCTTCACTTCAAACACTCTAGTCTTAAGGATCACTCAGTCACAGAGTAGGAGGAGCCTCACCCTAACCCTGGCCTCAACAGAAAGGCGCTAACACGGAGCTAACCCCTGTGCATGCTGTTCCCCACAGAGCTCAGCTGTAGGTGTACTCAGACTGAACTCCCTTTAGAAACTGGCACCAACATTGGGCTGATGCTTTTACAGTAATAATTAAAGAAGCTGGACACAGCTGCCATTTCAATTCAAATGTTGAAAGACGTTTCATTTGGCTTTCCTCTAAGCAGCAGTGCTTCGTGGTCTTATAGTGTTTCTGGTTCAGTTCTTTATTGCTTAAATTTTAAACTCAGGCTATGTAACGTTGGTACATATGCAGGTTCATTACTGAAGGGGCTGCAGACCACCGTGACTGATAACTGCTGACGAGCTTTACATGAGCGTATAACAGGAATAGTAATGCAGAACAAGCTATTTATACTTACTGGTAATCAAAGGATCCATCCTGGTCTTTTTGATCCACCGCGTCCAAGGGGAGATCTTTTTTATCTCGCACTGCCAAGGAAGACAACAAAGGTGTTAGGCTGCAGCTGTTCGAGTCAACAGATTTTCAGGGCTTTATGTTGAAAATACAATCATTTAGTTAGTCCCCATCTGCTGGTTTAGTTGCTTTCAGTTGTCACATACTAAGTTTACACTGTGTACTGTGTGTAGAGTGTATGAACAACGAGTGTGGGCTCGTCCTATATGAAGCAGCTCACTCCAAGGCTTCGTTCAGTTGCTGCCAATTAAACAAGAATTCACATGTTCAGGTCATTTAGTGACATTTCTTCAGGCCGAGTGGAACATGGAACACAGAGCATTTATGTGAAGGGACAGTCAAGCCTGTTTTAGTAGCAGTTGCATTATGTTGGGTTTGCAGAGAGAGGATCAGGGCCACTGGGGAAAAGGTTTCTTTCTCTTTCCCAGTGACCCTGATCCTCTTCAGTAGCTTTGTGAGTTGGTCATATTTGTTAAAAACGTTTAGTTTTAGTTCCACATTCCTGACTGAAGGCTTGTCAGTCTCTGTTATTGGTCACTGGTCTGTTATATTAGTTTGTCACTGAGTCAGCACCTACCCAGAGCCTTTGTGAAACAGCTCGTGTAGCCACCACCTGGACATTACAAAAACTGTAAAACATTAACAATACTCTGATTTAAGTCATTCATGACCATTACGTTATAATACACAAAACAGCAATCCAGCTAAATGCTGTAAAACCTCGAAACCCTGATTTTAAATTCTGAGTTTTCCATCATCATATTTGTCATGTCTGTTTCCAACTTGTTCATGCACACAGCAGCTGGCTGTCCTCCCGGTACTGACTGATCAGCTGGAGTCAGGCTGCCTGCTGCGACTCTGGCTGCTAACAACAACAAGCTGTGCAAAGAGAAACCTACAAATCCCTCACAGCAGATATTCACCCCTCTTCATTTCCTCCTGTTCCCAAAGGTTTGTTGTTGTTCCTTTAAAACAAACGAGTTCTGCAAAGCTCAGTATTGAACCTCTAGGCGGGGCAGCCGTCTTCACAAAATTAGATGTAAGGAATCATCTTTATCATCATCTCTTGGTCAGAGTGAGAAACAAATGGAAAACTGACCGCTCTTCCTCCATACTGCGCTGAAAGATATCTAAGAAGACTTCAGTCACCTCGTGTTGTCTTGTCCAGAGACCCCGTCTGAAACCACCCACCCATTATCAAAAGAAATATTTAAATAAAAAAGACCAGTGTGCTTTCCTTTCTTTAAAATAGTGCATGACAATATTGATTCATGTTTTGATGTTGTCAAAGGTAAACACATGAGTTCACAGCGCAGTGTGCCACTCGCCCTTTGGTAAGCAGCTGTTCTTCCTCTCGTCATAGCTGCTTCAGTAAAACAATATTTATTTATACTTTAAGCCAATGAAGAGCACATATTTACAATCCACAGCAAAAGAAGATCAATCAGGTATTGTTTTCTTATTTTCTACACACACGTGTCTGTTTGTATTACTCAGAAATCCCTTTGTGTTAGGACGGCACCAGCACAGAAACACAGGCCCAGTCACAGTCCTGGGAAAACAGACTGTATGTCAAAGCAGACAGCTTCACACCACACTGGCATTCCTTGAATTCAGTGGACAGACGGAAAAAGTCAAGGTGGTAGTTTAGTGACCCATCAGGAAACAAGAGCACGTGAGATGCATCATCACCTGGTCACCAGAGGAGCTGCAAGAACAGACCTCTGCCTGGGTGCAGACACAGCAAAGTAAGACTAGCTTACATTCGCTAAGAGCAAAGATTCCTTTCAGGCTCACTGCTTGTTGTTTGTTGAAGGTTTGATTCACTACAATACACAGACCTGCTTCTTGAACCCAGATGCTTCAGAAAATGCTCTGCTGATGAAACCTCAACAACATCCTTCCACCCAGACGTGTAATGGCATGAGGCGTGGGAGATGGAATCAGTAACTAGCTCTAACTATGTCCTTGTAGCCACATATGACAGCACTGGCTAAAATACCCACGACTCTCAAGACCATTAAGACCATTGATCTTCTAAAAGGAAACTACCTGGATGAACTGTGACATTACTGACATATTCTTCCTCTCGGCATTAAAGGATATTCAGTCTCTGTGTGGCGCCACAAATTCAATAATCACTTCTTCCCACTGTCTGCACGATTTCACTCAAGAGAATAGACTTGCATAAGAATGCTGTGGGAAGCTTACCTGGGTACTTTCCTCCACGACTCCGCTTGATGAAACAGACGATGAGGAGGATCAGGATGATAAGGGCGATGGCGCACATCAATCCGATGAACCAGCCCTGCGTGGCTATGTCTACCTGGTCTATGTAGGCTGGAGTCGTGTCAGAGAGACGAACAAGACGAGACAGTGGACAAGAAAGAAGAACGCAAAGAGAGTTAGTATTTATCTGAGGAGGGTTAGGGTTAACCCCCTAACCCATCCCAGAGCGCTCAGCAGACGTCAACAGCTCAGAACCAATATGTCATCATTTCCCCAAAAACAGTGAGGATGATGCAGTGAACATGATCCTGTCCATGTCAAGTGATTGCCTAAAAATTCACACACTGTGTGATTTAATCTGAAAAATGTACTTTTTTCCCAACAAGTCAGGGACTTTGTTTCACAGCTGCCACAGTCACTGTGTAAGCCTGCATGAGGAGTTTCTCTGCTGGTTGACAAACTGTACCAACTGCCTACCAAGATCAGTCATTTTTACCGGTGCTTGATTTATCCCAGCTTCATGTTCATGTCCCATATTTGGAACTTGAGCTGACAGCTTGTTTTAGTCATTAGTCTTAACTCACCAGAAGGATACCGCACTGGTCAAAAGTTTTGGAACACCCTGATTTTTCCAGTAATTTATTGCAGTTCAAGTCATCCAAGTCCAACGAATAGATCGAAATGGTACAAAGGGAAGTGGTTAAAAACAAAGCTTACCCCAAACTGAAAACTAATGTGCACATACGAAAAGGCCTTTTTCAGGGACAACATGGGCTAACAGTTTAAATCTGTTCTGCAGCAATGGAGGCTGATCAAGCCTTGAAAGCTGCTGCTGGTACTTCCTACAGCTGTTCCAGCTTTTCTGGATTACTCCCCCCTCTGTCTGCACAAAGCAGTGCTGGGACACACTGATGTACTCTCGTGAGCATCAGCTGAACAGTACTCCAGAAAGTAGAGTGTTGCTACAAAATTTAACAATGGAAGAGACACAGACCATCATAACACTTATAAATGCAGGTCTGTCCTGCAGAGAGACAGTGAGTCCAGCTTCCTTCAGCCAAAGGCTCAGAAACTGTGACAGGAGGAGGTCTGCAGACCCAGAGACACGACTGAATCAGAGGACAAGTTTCTGAGAGTTAACAGCTGTGTGACGGCGGCTCACAGGACAACAGCTTCAAGCAGTTTAATCGTGGTCGTAGTGAGAAAGTCTCAGTTTCAGCTGTGAAGAGAAACTTCGAGCTGCAGGTTTGACAGGACGAGTTGCAGCAAGAAAGCCAGACATCAGAATGAGACAAAGAGGCTCGTCTGGGCCACGAAACACCGACACTGGACTACTGAAGGGGCTGTTTTGGTGGATCCAGGGTCGGTGACTTGTACACAGTGAGAGGCCCCCTGAACCAAAACAGCTACCACAGCACCCTGCAGCCCCATCAACCACCCAAAACATAGAGCTGTTTTCAGAGTGCAATGAGGCATTAAAATAGTGGTGTTCTAAAACTTTGGACCAGTAACATATATCTGCATATATAAACAGATATATGTACTAGAGATGGACCGATCCGATATTACGTATCAGTCTGATACTGACCTAAATTACTGGATCGGATATCAGAGAAAAATAAAAAATGTAATCCGATCCATTAAATATCAAAAAAGCACCTCACAAAACTTGTGACAACGTGCAAGAAAGATGTTGAATCTATTTAATATTTCTTGAAAAATAATTGATTTCTGTGCATTTTTTTTCACACTGCATCAAATTGATTACGTCGATTAAGCATCATGAGGTGGGGGGGGGGTTCCCTATTTTTGTTGTTGCTGGGAGTTGGAACCCTATTAGTTAGGTTGCTTAATATTTATGCTAAGTACTCTTTAAAATACCAGAATAGGGAGGATGGAGCAGGTTTAAGTTTATTAGATTGATCAGTGTTGCTGAATTGTGAAATATTTTGGGTGCAGTGCATTTTTTACATACAGGTATAACAGAATAGCTTTAGTGTAGTTGTTTATTTAAACTTGAGTATGAACAAAATGCAGCAAGATATTTAAAAAACAGTTTTATTGATTAAAAACACTATATCGGATTCATATCGTATCGGCAGATATCCAAATTTATGATATCGGTATCGGACATAAAGAAGTGGTATCGTGCCATCTCTAATTTTTACACACACACAAGACAGAAGCAATAAATATATCTCTTCAAAGTCGAACTTTTTAGTTGGTTAAAAACACAGGGCCGTGAACTACCAGAAGTAAGCACACGATCTAAACTAACTTGTACTTCTTGTCATGTAGATTCCATTTCTAAACACAAGCCCTCTAAATCTGAGGCATTTCAAATGTAGAAGGTTTACTGCTGGGAAAAAACAAGACAGATATCAATTAAACAAACCGTGACAACCCGCCCTGCACTGACTTAGTCAGTGTAGATATTACTTGTGTCAAATACGTAGAGGAGCCCAGCTGGCTCCCATCCTTGCTCCACACGGCCAGGTGTGGTCTCACCTGCTTTGGTCTTAAAGGTGACAGATTTGCTGCTGACACTGTTGAATAGATGGGAGTAAACTCTCAGGTGATACACGACGCCTGGGATGAGATCCACCACATTAATGGGGGGCTGTTGACTCTTTACATCTTTCTTCGTCTTGTTACCTTGGAAACACAATTAAGAGGCCAATCACACTCCAGGGGTGTGGCCTTCGCTCCACTTTAAAACCGGGCATACAACAGTCTGCAGCATCACAGTGCTTTACAGGGAGACTGCTGTTGTCTGATAGCAGGGTGGCGGTGCTGAACTGAGGCTGATAGCAATGCTGCGACCACAGTGGCCATAAAGATTCATTCATCTCTTTAAATTAGTAAAACATATGGATTAAACAGTATGTATGCCTGGCCACAACACTTTATGAAATTCTCACTTCAGACAATATGTTCTGATTAATCTTACTGTTTTATGGCCCTCTGACTACTTTTTTCTTCAAGGTCAAGTTCCCTGCAGAATCCTGATCATTGCTAGTAGTGGAATAGTGAGGCACAAGGACCACTGTCTGTCAAGCAAAACCACTGGAATACAATCGGCTGAAAAGCACGTTTTAAAACATGTTCAGCACCGTCTTCTGTCAGTACACAACGTTGGTGCTGGTTACCATCAATAGATCTACTCTGCATTAGTTTATGTTCACAAACTAGCAACAAAACCAGTAACTCCGTGGGACATAAGCAGACCTTTGAAATTCTGCGGGGTTTGTCTGCATCGTTCTTTCACAGGAAAGCATTATCAAGATTATCAGGTAAGTTTATACAACTGCGATATTACATTTGTTTCAATGTCTGATACCCTCCATCTCTCTTCAAATAAGACATTTTTAATGTCAACAACACTTTTTACCTGGATAAAAGTCACTTTGCAGCAGCTACTTTACAATGGGAATGTTCTTTTTGGCTGTAAACTACTTGATATTCTTTCATAAAAGTATAATTTCCAGAAATCATTCTTTTGAAAAATTCTGGAAATCACTTTCGGGCAGCGATCACTGGAAGCGAGTGTGGATCGGTATACTGACTACTTAAAGAAATGATGAACTGTATTGTCTCTATTAACTTCTTAAGGTGCCTCAACAAAAAAGAATAACATCTAAACTAGAAACTTTGTCCACAAGCTGTTGTATGTCCAGTTACATTATGTAGCAGTTCTCGCGTCGGCATATTTCCCCGAGACTTTGTGGAGGTTCCACACCCCTGGAGACTGGATTACTCCTTCACCTACATTTAGGCGAAGGAGACTTTAACATGGAGGCTTTTTCTCCTTCGACCATGCGCATGAAGGTCAGGATTTTGGATCGTGTTTTAATAAGAAACACAGTGAACTGTTTGATGTGCTTGGGAAAAAAAGCGCATATTTTATTATATAAAATAGCGCATATATTATATCATAATTTGCGAACACTTTATTTGAGCTAATTGTGCGGCTCGTTGCACCCGGCCTGTCGAGGAAAGGCTGCAGTATTGGGCTCCAGCTAGTTGGTCTCTCATCCAAACAGTCTTCATTTAAAAAGTACTTTGTAGCCCGAACAATACAGGCAGATTTTCCCAAGTCAGTGCAGCTAGCCAAACAACAAAGAACCGCTGACTGCTTAAGTGATAAAGTGAAAGTGGACAGTATAGGCTTGATTTAAAACCCATTGTTGCAGCTAGGTGCAGAACAAAAGTGACCCCCTTAAACTGCTTTTATTGTCCCTGTTTTTCCCCAGGTTATTGGTTCTGTTACTAGTCAGCTAACAGCAAGTCTATTGACGGCAACCAAACAACCAACCCAGTGACATAAAGCTCCATACTGAGAGAAGATGCTACTAAACAGGATTTTAAAATGTAAGCACTTTGAGTTAAATCTAAGTCAGGTGGCAAAACATTGCTCGTCTCAGTTAGACACCAGACCCCCTCCTATCTCTAAGGTCCAGGCAGAAAGCAGTGATGACAGCCTGCACGTTTTCAGCAGAAACACGTCTGTCATGCCCATGAGACACACTCTGAAGAGGCAGCATGAAGTGACATCATGCACCATGCTGTTAGCCACACAAAGTGAAAGTCATCCAACATGGGTGATTACCAAGCCATGCTACAGCAGTCCTCAAACCAGCCAAAGAAAGCACAGACACACAAAGAACATGCTGTTTGACAAAAGTCAGTGAAGTGCTATGAGAAAGGCTTTTTGTCATTTGTAAAATGATATCCATCTGCCACGTCTTTCTTTTGTGTATGTGGCTAAATAATTAACCTCATGACAGTCAGCCCTATTTGAAAACAGTGTATTTAAATGCTAGTTTATTGTTTTCAAGCAGCTGTAAAAAAATCAAAGTAACCCAATCCTTTTCCTAAACAATATATTCTCCACATTCTTTTTTTTTAAATAAGTATAACAATCAAACATAAAAAGGCAGTTTGTGGCAGTTTTTGTGGCTAGCTCTGCCGGATACGTCCCTTAACTCTGGGGACAGGTTGTCCAGGGTTAGTAACCTGTTCGGGCAGTGTGTTGGGACGTGTTCGTGACCTGTAGCGACATGTAGCGGGGCCTTCTCGGTAGCCCTAACCCACCAGCATCAATAATGCACTCCTGTCGTAATGTCGTAAAGTCTATGACCTGACCTACATGCATTCTGTATTGAGTAGAGATAGTATCAATACAATTTCTTCAATGCATTTAAAACCCTGTTGGGATTTGTTTTCTTGTTTTCTTTCTTTCTTTGTTGTTTTTGTAACCGTATAAAGTAGAGTACAACAGCAGAACAGGAGAGACCCGAGGCGGCCGCCAGGCGGAGCGCCAGGTGAACTGAACTTCAAGTAAGAAGTTATGAGCTGAAGTCTATCTGGGTCAGATATAAACCAAGTTTAGGTGGAGTTTATTCTCGTTATGCTGACTTTTTACAGTCAGAGAAAATATTACACCTTTCTTATTGAGGTGAAAAGGAACCGTTTGTCCCGGACTTCAGCTACAATGGAAAAAGACACAAAGCTGCAGTTATTCTGTCTTTGCTGCACAGCTGCCTTCTTCTCCTCTCATTCTCCCCCCTCTCTCTCCTGTTGCTACTTCAGTCATGAAACTGATCAGTGATCAGCTGATTGGCTTTTCGCTCTTGTTTGTTTATCACCCACTTTGCGCCAGAAAGAGGAAACCAGCAGAGGGTTGATATGAATGAGTTGAAGTTATGAACTGTTTCTGAGAGACAAATAACACCAGGAGCCTTTTCTAAGCAGCTGACAGCTGGTAACTGTGCAGAGGCGGGTCTAGCAAAGGGGGGCAGGTAGGGCATTAACAGGGAGAGGGGGGCACAAAGAAATACTTTTCTTTCTTATTCTCATTTAAACTGTCTCACTTTTATGAAATAATTATCTGAATCTTACGACCAAAGTTTTAATCTGATGTCAAACGTATAGAAATCATACATATACCAACAAGACTGTGCATCACTGTCACAGCAGCGTTTGTTTTCATTCAAAGGCTTCATGGCTTTTCCTATAATACCTGGGGGGCCGGTTTCTAGTCAAAATGCCCGGGCCCATTTTTTGTCCCAGTCCAGCCCTGGTACTTCCTGTTTACTGTTGGGTTGTAGTTAGCGCTGGTTAGCTCCAGTAGCTAGCTAATTCTCAATTGGAAACAAACAAAAAAAACTTAATAAACGAAAAAAAATGTGGACTCTTTTGAAAGTCTTAATAAAATCAATAAACACACATTATAAACAGCTTTACTACTTTACACGAGTTCATCTTACTCTACAATAGGTTGGAAGAGGTTAAGATTTATTTATATCACTTACTATGTTTTTTGAAACAATGTAATATCCCTGTTGTCTCAAAAATGAGAGAAGAAGCGTCTCCTTTGTCTCAGTCAACCTAAAAACAAACACACCCTGGCTGGACAGATCTCCCGTTAGGCCTGCTGTGGTTTATCTTATCAGGGTTACATACACTGTGTCCTCAAACATGACCTACCACGGATCAAGAGTCTGTATGAAAGAAAAGTCTAGATCTCACATCCTGACAGCCTGACAGTGCAGGGATGGGTGAGAGAAGTGGATAGCATCAGACCAATCACATCACTTCCTTTCCTCACACGCAGACATTAATAATTAAAATCTCAGCACAAGTACACAAACACATCTCCATCCTTTCTCTGCTCCAGACTTTATAGACTGGGCTGAAGCAAACAGCAGTAACTGAGATGTCTGATCAGAGCTACCCAATTTTGCTCTGTGAAAAGGTGGGATGATTAAAAGCCAGAGTACACAGCACTTCATACCAAGCAGGTGAGTATGGCAGCCTTGGTGAGCAACAAAGACACAGTTAAACAGCCGTTCAAAGAAAGCAGCCCATCCCAGCGCCGGGCCAACAAAAGCAACGCAAAGAAAGGCAACAGAACTCATAGATCCATGCACATGGTGCACTCAAACAGGCAGAACCAAAGAGTGAGAGGGAAAATAATTTTGCAGATGCTGCCTAAAAACGGCTCTCAGTTAACGTGTAACTGCGAAGTATATGGAACAAAATGTCATCTTTCATCTGAATATAATTACATTGAGATGTACCATTTCTGTTGTGACTAAAATCAATATTATGCTGATCTGGAAAACATTTTCAAGACTGCTACTGCACATCCAGATGTTTTCCTCTCATCCAGTCACATTAAAATCTAACTACAGATTGTGTTACTGCAGCTAAATGATATATTGTTAGGTCTTTTCAAGCTGATTACATGTGAATTGTTAGCAAAAGAATGCACTTATAAAAAGCAAAAAGGAAGCCAATTTGAACCATCTGACCTCAAGCTTGCACACACAGTATCAAACAGACGTTTATGTTGACTACATCTATTTATTTCATTCTAATGTTCGGTTTGAAGATGCTTATGAGAACTTCAAACCTGGATCCGGGCTCCTCCTTGCCACCATGCTGTAGTGTCCTGTATTCCCGTAATGTACAAATGGTGTGATAACATTTGGTTTTACCTGTTCAGCTCCACCTACACTCTGCACCTTGAAGCTCCGGTTTTACTTCACTATCCTTGTAGATCTACTCTGTAGTCAGAACATTTAGTTCACAGTTTATATCTCAGTAGCGCAGTTTGAGCTTGGTCTGATTTCTTACTGTCCAGAGTGAACTCTAGTACAAAATCGCTGCTGCTGGCCGGGAAGTTGTGCGTCCAGCTGACTTTAGCGTAGTTACTGTTAGGCTCCACCGTCAAATTCCAGATCTCTCGCCCAGAAGCCACTACACAAGGTAGGGTAGGTGGGGGGTGGGGTAGGGGACAAAGAGTTCAAAGTTGGAAGCAAGAGGCAGAGAGGGCACAGTTACAACAACCACACACAGGGCTCTGTTTGGACCCGTGCAGACTGCTAGCCTTGCACAAGTCTTCCTACAACAAAACAGACTCCATGCTTTGCTCAAAATCAAACTAAGAGCATTAAACTATATTCACCCCCCCCCCACCCAAATATATCTGCATAGTTTTTTTAAGTTCATGAATGAATGAATTGTAATGTTTACTTCTGAGTTAGCGATTACTTCAGTCCTAACACTGCCAGTGTCCAAGTACTAATCAAACTACTGAAACTCAAAGCCATCATGTTCTGTGAAATAAACGTTTAGGTTCTCGCTCCTTGACCAGGAAGATATTTGCTGGCTACAACCCAGTATTTTGTAGCAACTCCCCACTTTTTGTGCAGCAGGTACAGCACAGCGTATCGAAGGAAACCCTGATGTAGCTTACTGTTCAGGTAGGAGAATACAGTTCAATTCAAATGGTAGACAGACAGTAAAACTAGAATGGGACAACAGCAAGTACCCAACACATTCTGGTCAATACGCTTGGTGGTGAACAGCATTGGAAGGATGGTAGTGGTTGCCTCAGTAGTAGAAGTGGTGGCAATAGTAGTGGTTGAAGTCGTAGTTGTAGGAGTGGGAGTAGCTGAGGTACTAATGGTTGTAGGAGCAATGGTAGTAGGAGAAGGATAACCAAAAGGAGTAGGAGTAGGAGTGAAACCAGAAGCCACAAAGGAGTCGGTAAGCTCGACTACAAAAGAGGAGGAGAGAGCAGAGGGTTAAAGACAAGGTAGCAGGAACGTCAAACACAACGATGAACAATGACGCACACACACATGCTTACTAGCACACGCATGCATACGCACACGCATGCATACGCATGAGAAGTCAAAGAATCCCTGAGCAGAAACACTCGAGGAATTCCCTGCAAGATCACAGTCCTCATTTGAGAGCATCTCATTCCAAGGATCCATGCACGTTATTCTTCTGTCATCAGGAGGACAGATGTTGTCTCATAATGTGTTTCGTCCAAAGTGTTAGGCTACGTGGGACCCAGTGTTTATGCTCTTTGATTCAGGGTTTCTAATGATTTCCTGATTTCTAGTTCTTAGGTCTTGTTCCTCCCTGTGATCCTCGTGTCTCATCGACTCAGATAAATTAATGATAAATTAGATAAATAATGCTAATATCATTTGTATTTTTTCACTGTAATCATCTTGAACCTGTTGATATTTATTTGTAATATAAATCGCTATTCTAATGAATTGGTATTTATTAGAATGTATATTTATTGTACTCCTCTTTGAATCGCTACCTTATCGTGGTGGAGGGGTTTGTGTGTCCCAGGGATCCCAGGG